AAATAATTTATAATAAGTTTAATAATGTTGAAACATTAATAAATGTATCATATTATTAGGAAATTTGGGATACATTATACAAGCATCCTAAAAACGACCGTGTAGCAAAAATAAATAAATTTAAAGCAACCTCTTTAGAGGATTTTTTTTTTAATATAGAAGTTTGTCAACCATATCGTGTGACATATCGCACGGGAGAGCATAATGTGAGAAACAATTTATTTTTATGATAGAATGATAAATAGAATTGTCGTCATATAAGAAAATAGATGACAAATAACCCTTTGAATTAACCCATCCGCCCTTATTATTTACTAGGTAATCTATTATTTTTAAACTGAACATCGGTACACTAGTCCGATTCGATCTTTACTTTTTTTGATTTCTTACCACTATGACCTATTAGAATTCTTATTTTTACATTTGATAATATATTTAGATTTTGACAAAAGCTATTTAGAATTGAAATATTTCAGGGTATTCGCATCTTAAATGGGTTTTTAGTAAATTACAATATTTGCTCACATTTCTTTGACACCGTCGTGGTTTAAACTTAGTCACACGGTTTGATAACAAGTGTTACGTGAATAAACGATGTCAATTTAACTTCCTATAACGTGTGTATGTGCGTTACCGATTTATATTTCAAATCTCACATCACGTATTCGCAAAATCGTTGATATTACCTGATATAGAAGGGTTTGTATCGATGTAGTGGATCTGATATATCGTCGGACGTGCAACTATAAAGTATGACTCTGTTAAGTTTACTTACTACACATACACTGATAATAAGATAAATGATTATGTTTAAATATAAAATTTTTACCATCTGTGTTTTGTCTCGCAAATACAGGATTGTATAAACGTATAAACGTTCGACTTTAAGCTCTAATGCATGTTAAAAAAAAATGTATTGGTAATGTCATCCATCCATCGCGATTTTGATCGTGAGCTTTTAGAAAATGTCCAAAACAATTAAAACCTAAATTCTAAAAAAGAATATTTTGACAGACAGCAAAAAAAAATATAACATACTTATTTATAATGTATATACGGCTAAAGGTGGGTGTGAACATAAACTTAAGATGAGCCGGCTTAACTTAGGTTTATCTTCGAGGAGCAGCTAAAGTTCGATATCATGTTATTTTGCGTCGTGATATTCCATCTTTAGCTGGTTAATATGCACATTACATTAACCAGCTATGACGGCGGGACTGGTAAACTAATACTTAAAAAAACGCATTTAGCGGAGTAACCGTGTTCTGTATGACGGCACGCTGCCTGCCTTATGTGATGATTTATGGACTCGCGGTATATGGATACTAGCTCTGTTTATTTTACGAGACAAGTTTTGGTGTTCCGACAACCCTAATACGCCAGTATTTAAAGGGACCCCAAGAACCAGGAGCTTCATATGTTATCTTATAGAGAAATACCTACTGAAACAAAATCAACGGTCTAATCTAAGGTGACTGAGAATGGTTTTGAAATCGAAAATTTTCGCATATCGGGCCTACAGCCCCAAGTAACATTTAAAATGTTTACGTATTGATGAAAACAACGCTCACTAGCAATGAATAGTTAAAAAAATTAACAGTCGCAATAATCTGATAGTTCAATCTGTAGAACAGCCGCCGCCACTTCATCAAATTAATTAACTAACAATTAAAATGTAGAAAATAACTTTCTACTAGTATATCTATCTTTATTAACTCTTTGAAATTAGTTTAAAATATATATTGACTGAGCATCGAGCAAAATTGCAATTACAGAGTACACTACTTCTCGGAACGAGGTCCTCTCGACTTCAAAAGGAATTCGTTATACGGTCATGCCCGCGGGCATTCTTCAGACATGCCCCTAGGACCTTGATACTCTAATCTGTGTAATGTTTTTTGTGTAAGATCGCCCATTACACAGATAGTCTAATGAATTATCAGCTTTACACTAGTAAACTTGCACAGACCTAAACCACGGACGTGCCCATCTAGTGAATGTCCCGCTTAAGAGAAAATGACTGAAAATGTTTACATTTTTTTTTCTATTTAAAATCAAAATCAAAAAATACTGTGAAAAAAATTATGGCTTTGAAGTTGCGCTTGCTAGAACAATTTCGCTTCACGCGGTAACTGAACATGTGACGTCTCACTACCGAACATGACCGCAAGGACGCGGCTCAGTAGTATTACAAGTTCGTTTTTGAGCATCGCCTGCATCATACAGTCGCGTTTTGTTTATGACTTAATGTGGGGCACTAATTAGTATCATGGGATTGAACAGTATAGAGTAGAGAAGCGAGAACATATGCAATATCCCTACGACGACGAATGGGGAGCCACTGAAGTTGCCTACGGAATTCAGAAACATGGTCATATTTGCGCAAGCCAAATATAAACCGTATCGTAAAGTTTTGAAGACGTTCAAGCTTATTGAATAGATCAAGTGTAAGATCAGGGTAGCATGCATCTGCATAGTCAAGAAGGGGCAAGAGGTGGAATACGCAAGTGTAATTTTGGTGGAAATGGGTAAAAAATTGCGCACGTAGATACTGAATTTTCAGCGCGTATACGTTGCCGGCGACCATATAGATAGCGAAACCAATCAAGCGCTGCTGGAAATACGATAAGGGAACGAAATATGCCTAACAGAATGTCAAAATCAACAGTGCCAAAAGCGTTGCTGAAATCCTGTAACGTTAACACCGTTAACTTCTCATTTTAATTTTCTCGGTAATCTTAACTAATGCCGTTGTAGTTCTATGTCCAGGGCAAAAATCAGTCTGGAAAGGATTAAAGAGTTTATGTCTGTTAAGAAAGGAATTTAATTGTTGTTGGATAAGGCGTTTAAATATTTTTGAAATTAAGGGAAGAATAAATATAGGACGGAAATCAGAGTGATTAATAGGCTTAAATATTTTAGGCAAAGGGATTATATGAGCATCTTTTCATACATCAGGAAAAACAGAAGAAGAAATAGAAGCATTAAATTTTTTTGTAACGATAGGCGTAAGGATATCACGCAGAGGAATTAACATATTACGGCTCAAACAGTCCTCGCCCATTTTATTAGATGTGACAGAGATAATATTCTTCTTAACTTTACAGTCGGTGACTTGATAAAAAACAAACGTAGGATAGTCGGGAGTAGGTAAAGATGAAAGATACTGTAGGGTCTGCTGCTTAATACTGTTGTTCATAGCGAATAGTTATTTAGAGAATTAAAGTCGAAATCAAGTGAACGAGGAATAGTATTGGTCGTTGATTTACCGACTCCCACTGACTTCAGGAACCTCCAAACTTTGGATGAACTTCCATTTTCTACCGACTTGTGAATATGCCGTTTTTGTGTATCCCTACACATTGTATTGCAGTGATTTCTAATAACGTGGTAGTTAACACGATTTTGTTCAGTCGGTCAATTATTGTATTGTCCCTAAGCGTACATCAATAAAAACCCTAATTAAATATTTTTAAATAAAACGCATCTGTAAGTAAATAGACAGATCAAAAGAGGTACCTACTAACTATCATCCTTGCTGCTGTGACTAGTGTTGCCAGGTCCAATTTGTTTCAATTCGTAAGGTAAAGTAAATCGGGATTTAGGGTTGTAAATCGGGACACTAAAATTTATGTTTTTAACCGTCTTCAAAAATAAGGTTAAAAAATTAGAATCATTTATTCAGTCTAGCTTTCATAGTTACATAGCACTTGTGAAAGTCGAAAACTATGCTAACGGTACGCAAAACTATCTATTTGTCTATTAGATCCATATTTATCACGTCACAAGTCTCAAACACTTCACACACTACACTTTAATTTATTTAAGTTTTTTTTTTACCATTATTTTCACATATCATGGCGGATTCCATCCATTCCCTCGTTAAAAAAGCTACTGTTGCAAATAAATAACTTTTAAAAAGGCTAAACGTGGAGGAAATGGTTGATGAATTGCGCGCAAAACAGCAATTTTTAATTATTCGCAAACAAATACGATAACTGTATGGGGTAATAGCACTCGGCTACAGTAACTCACATATCTATCAATAGGGATGATAACTAATTTTGGCATGTTTGTCCGCCAGGAAGAGTACTGAAGAATATTCGTTCCCTTTTGTACATCTACATAATTATGACGTAGCAAACCTTTCAATACCCATTATCTAAGTCATTTTTCGAGTCATGAGAAGCTGGATGGTGCAGAAGTAGCGCGCTCGACTGCGATATGGTTGTTAAGCAACTTTCGCAAAGGGCGGTCAAAGGACAGGTGACCAAAAATTTATTATATCGGACTCTTTCGTGCATTGGAAGGCACGTTAATCCGTAGTCTGTTAACACCCACCAATCCGTATTGGGCTTGCGTATAGGGAGGCCTTTTCTTCCCATCCGATTTAACTCATGGGGAAGACCTGAGCCCTAGCAGTGGAGATGTGGGTAAGAAAGGTCATTAAAAACTCAAAAGTTTAACGAAATAAATTCTAATTATCTTCGACATAGGTAACATGCTCATTACAAGTTAAGGTAAAATAAAATAAACAAATGACCGTTATTCCGTGAAATTGATTCGTTTAATTATCAAAATACGCCCAATAACAGTATATCAAGGGCTCGGCGCGTCGTTACGGCGGCATTAGAGTCATCAGCGGAGCCCTAAATATAAGTAATAAAATATGCGCCCGCAACCCATAGTATTTCAGGCTGACGTTAATGCGCTACCGTAATCAACAACACCAATAAACCATTACCGAAACGTAAATAAACTCTAAACGCAGCCATCGCACGTAAATAACAACCGCCAGCGTCAGGCGAGACAAATAAGAGAAAAAAAATAACAATTATCCTTGAACGGGGAAAGTTGCAGCGGTTCCAATTAAAACCTATATAATTAACGTTATTCGTGATATTAATATAAATTATATGGAAATATAATAGTTTGGTTGATAATGCGACTGTTTCACACCATCGATCGATAGCAAAAAGCAATTTTAGAAAGAAACTTACCTTTAGCGTATGTAAACAAACGTAGGCAGCCCATCAAGAAAATCCAGTTAGCGAACCCAAAACGGCATATCCCTGTCCGACACATGATGCAACACACTTTAACAACACTACACCAGAGGTTTTAATTCATCAATATCACATTTTCACATAAAATTCACATATAATTAACGCAATTATTTTATACAGTATAGAGTCGGTGCGACAGTGAATAATCCGCCATTTTCACAAGGACCGCCTACGTTCGGAAACACAACTCGATAATGAAAAGGGCATTGTCCGGGGTTGACGATGAACTTGAGCTTACTTCATGTTGGTTTTCCTTGTACATGAAGTAAGCAGCAAAAGTAGTGCTTTCTAAAGCGACTTATAGTCTATGGAATACAATTAAATACCTAATCGATTTCTTCAGTCGATTTTATAAGACTACTATGAATTCTGCATTCTAATACATAAAATTATAAGCTGAAGGTTTTAAAGATTAGACGATTTAAATATGTGTTAAGTATAAAACGTATGGTAATGCGGAAGTATTTAAAGAAAATATAGTTTTTGAAATGAAACTAGATGTCGCTACGATATGTTCTTGAATTCTTCATAACAATCCTTTTGGTTTTCTTTCATGTATAAAAGTAAATTAAACTTTATAACTCGATAAAGTGGGTAATGATATAATTTGCAAATTTCAGTTTTTTAATAATTTGGTTAAAAGGAACGGAAATTACTATCTTTAAATCATTCGTTTCCTGCAAAAATCACCTTTTGCTAGAGTCGCCATCTAGTGAAGTGCTTTTTAGTCCTTTTTTTAAATACCTCCTCATGTTATCTGTGTGGTTATATCATACGGCAGTCACTCATATTCATGCAAATATTTTTTGCAATTTTTTTTGGTTTTACTAACTGTCGGTTTTGTAGAGGTTTTTAATTTTGTTTGGTCAGTCAATTCATGGGCAGTTTAATATTCTTTTGTTGGCTCAATGTTTAGTTTGTAGTTGGTAGAGATATGTATAACATATTAGGCCAAACGCCAAATTCATTTTTCAAGTATGAGTATGCCAAAATATTTAATCCATAAACCTATTCTAAGGGTATTTAAGAGATTTTTTTTTAATTACGTGTATTTTTGCCTTTGCATAATATTTTAAATTAGAAAACTTATACACGCAGCTTCATTTACAAAAATAAATTAGAAAATGATACTAGGTGGATACAAGAGAGAACAAACTGCAAAAACAGCAAAAACTTAGGTATTTTTAGTTATGTGTTCGAATCAACACAATTTATTTATGCTTCAACAAGCTTAGAACGGTCAGCTTTAATTAAAAAAGAACGACTAAAGTTAGATAGAAAAATGTTAAATACTTTAAAAGTGATATAAGTTAATAACTTTACACATACAAAATTTACCTAATGATAGTACACAAAAAGCGATTTTGACCTTTAACGCTAAAGTTGATAGAACATGTATTGGAATAAACTCACACACCGTTCGAGCGCGTGCCGACCGAAGCACTGCGACATACATAATACCACAGAACATAGAGAGAGATAGAAGTATAATGATATTAATTTAGTATGGGAACCGAGTGTCGCCTCTCCGCACACAAATACAGATTAGATGAAATGATCATTTTGTTCACTACATGAAAAACCGCCACGCGATAGGTTCGCGATAACATAAATCAAATCCCAAAAAGATACTAAGCTAAGAAATCACACGATTAAAAACAAACTCTAATTCAACGTGATAATAAATAATTTACTTTAACATGAATGTTGAACTGTCACGTGGCTGTATATGGGGATACCAGAAGGAAAAAATATTTTAAGATTATGCACATTTAAAAAAATTGGGGTCATCATTTTATGTGCGAACTATTAATATTAGATTTTGCTGTAACCAAGTGAATACTGAAAAATTAAGGCTTTTCAGTACATAATTTATTAAAATATCTTTTAAAAAACGCAGTACAAAAACTAAGAAAACTTAATGATACACTCTATCGTATGTCTGTGGAGTAATATAATTAAGCGAGGGAAAGTGTAAAAAAAACAAAAATTAAGAAAACAACAGAATTTTTGTATTAATTACATTAAGCCTAATTTGTATTTTTTTCTTACTGGTATCATTCCGGTTGTGCATATTAGTGATGTGACATATTAGTTGATAAAATAAGAGCTTTCAATTTTGTTATGAAACAGTTCAATGTAATTTAGTTCGACAATTTTCTACAGTGGTTTGATAGTAATTATTTAAAGCTTTATTCAAATAAAACGAAATACATAAAGTTTGCATTACCTAATGTGAGGCATGTTAATATACTTATAAATATAAATAGTGAAAAAGTTGAGATGGTGGAATCGACAAAGTTCCTTGGTATTTTGGTATATTGATAATTTGTCAAGTAGACTGAGTTCTGCAGCATTTGGTGTTAAGAAAATTAGACTATTGACAAATGTTGAAACGGCAAGATTGGTATATTTTAGTTATTTTCATAGTATAATTAATGACGTATAATCTATTGTTATGGGGTTCTGCGGCTAGCATTCAAGATATTTTTAGTCCACGCTATATATAATTTACGGTCTAGAGAATCTCTCAGAGAAATATTTAAAGAAATAAATATTTTGACTGTTGCCTCTCAATACATCAATGAAAATATTATGTACGCAAGAAAACATTACGTTTGTTTTACTTTATTATTCTAAGTTTTATATCTGTAATAATTAATTGCAACGACTGGACAATAAGGAATTGCTGGTCAAGTATGAGTTTGAAAGCCGTGACAAAAAAAGTTTGAAGATAGACACTAAAGCGATAAGTACGTACAAACGTCAATCTACATATAAAGTCACATCCGTTTGAGACATGCGTCTATAAACTTATGTGCAAATATGGAGCAACAAAAAAACTGATAAAAGCTGTTCTGTGGGCGGTTCTTTAAAGTGGCTTTCTTAACTCCATTTCTATAATAATAGTTTCCGATTATGAATCAGCATAATAAGGTAAATTAAATTGACGCCTAAAAATTAGTTTTGTAAATTAAATTCACACCACTAACAATATTACGTTAGTTGAAAACATAATTTTTTTTTTCTATAGATATTATGTTGTTTTGAAATTCATTTGATAGGTTTAGGTCCAAAAAGGGCAGATAGGGCAAAATTAATTATATAAACAAGGCAATCCGTTGTAAAGTTATTAGGGAAACTGAAATATAAGTAATGCAAAATAAGTGAAATCCAGTTTCACCAGTTTCTAACAAGACCTATTAGGCCAACTCTTAGCTTTTCACGAAGTTTCGTTTAATTTATGTATTGTTCATAAAACGGTGATATACTTCGTAACTTAGATATTTATAGCACATCAGTAATTTTTAATATTTATCTGCGTGTAAATAATTAACCGAATCTTCGTAAAAAAAGTGCATGGACAGTTCATTATTTCATTTGTTCAGTATCAGTTCATCTATAATTTTCCCTTGTAAACAGTATTTTATAGTTTTATATAATTATGGCATATATTTATCGATAACGTTGTTATGAAATGATGAAAGAAAAGCTCTGAATAAATATGTTTTAGTTATCGATTACGATCCATATAATTAACAATACGATTCCGAGCAGCAGCAGCCTATCGGTACATTTCAGACAAATGGAGGCACAGCACTATTTTTTGCAAAAGTGCACAAAATGATTTACATTGCTGTTTAGTAATGGGGTCAGAAACATTGATGTTGGTTTGAGCAATCAATGTATATTTTATTTAACATTGTGTCAAATTATTACGTTTTTTATATTTTAGCACTAAAATTGTACTTACCAGTGAAAGGAAATGTTTGCATTAGTTAGATTGTATACTTTGCTTTGCTTATTGCAAGTGATAATAGCACAAAACGGCATTTTTTATAGAAAAAATCAGTAAAATCACCACTCGACGATTGACGAACGACTGGCAAACATAAAACCGAGGAAAGGGCGTCATATGAGTAAAAGCGCATATGCCAGCGACGCGTGCCCCGCCCACTTACTACTTCTATTCTCTCTCTATGTTCTGTGCATAATACTGTATTAGAGTTTGGCAAGCGAAACGTGACACCACCTATTTTTCCGTTTTCATATGGCAACAACATAGAACTGTCAGTTTGACACTACGTTAGACAATTCAAGAATATTGAATTTTGTTGTTTTTGCGAATTTGAACTTGTGTTTTTGGTTAAAAATTATGTCGAAGCCGATAAAAAGTTCATCGAGGAAACTTCTTTCCATCATGATTGACAAGTTTACTGAAGTGAAAACTGAATTAAATAAAAATTTCATGGAGAAATTACAACGATTAGATAAAGTTGTATCTTTTTTAGGTTAGTTTTGTATTATAATTTTGATACTTTCGTTTTAATTTTCTGTAATTAACTAAACAGATATTTTTTATAAAATATTGCTCTATTTCAGATAACTGTGATGGTGATATTCAACCAATAATGGAGGAGATAAATGCAATAAAAACTTTAGAAAAACAAGAAATGCTGAATTCGGAAACGCAGTACTTACAAAAAATTTCTTCAATGACAGGTCTCTTTTCTTGTTTTGATTTAAGATAGATTGATAGTATTCCTATAATATTTACATAGGTTTTTTATGATGTATTGGTTTTTATTGTTGACATCCAATGATGTCATAAGAATGTTTTGTTTAACAAGGAAATTCACAGAATTCATGAAACTAATCAAACCATGTAATTGTTATACATGCTAAATATGCACATAAACTTAACTAAATTAAACATAAATTGCATTCATAGTTGAATAGGTATTTAAATTATTTTGATGTATGTGTCTATCATTATTTGCTTTTAAATACATTTAACATATCTTTGTTTCAAAGTGTTTAATCTTTTATAGATGTAAGTATAAGGACACTAAGAAGGATAAAAAATGAAGCATTAATTAATAAAGGAAAATGGGACACTCCTGGGAAAAAACGACCTCATCAACCAACAGTGTCTGCTTTAGATAATTTTGATTTAAGTGCAATTCGGAATAAAGTAAATGAATTTTACTGTGTGAAAAAAATTGTTCCAACATTAAGAAGCCTTCACAATGAATTAAAAGATGCAATAGGATTCAGTGGTAGCCGTGAGACTTTACGAAAAATTATTCTTAAGAATGGATTTTCTTTTAAAAGCAATGAAAATGAACGTTCTATGCTTATAGAAAAATACCAGATTTCTGCATGGAGGCACAAGTAT